ACAGACCCTTCCACCTACACTGAATGTGGGACACAATACTCATGCAGGAACACCGCAGTAGTACATATGGTCAACAAACATGGGTTCAAGAGAGCCGACGCGCTCTGGAAGATCAAATTCCCCCATGAGCCACCTCCGCCGGACATCCCGCCAGAACCTCCGCCACCTTCACAACCCCCACCTCCGGACACAACGTTACCCCGTCCCACTTCGCCTAAAGCAAAACCCCATCCGTTTGCCTGCAGTATATGTAAACGAACATTTCCGCTTCAAAATGGATTAACGCGCCACCTTAGATACATGCACAATGTCACATGCCCTGTCCCAGAGAGAAAGGGCCCGCGAGCCGAGGAACCGATTACAGAAGAGTCAGCATCCCCCTGTGACAAATGTGATATGGTAGCGCGCTCTAAAACAGGTCTCAAAGCCCATATTAGAGCAAAACAACCTGAGAACCCCAAAAAGGACGCACCTCGCCCTCAGCTCATCCCACAGCCTGCTTCACTACGATGCGAATTTTGTCTACGCGACTTCGGCAACATTAGTGGTCTCGCATGCCACAAAAAGTTTAAACATCCATCTGGAACCCCAATTGTGCCAGCAACAATACAAGTAACGTTCCCGCGCAATCAAAAACGCCAACGAGATACGTCGCCACCACAGGAGCGTGAGAGGACAGAGAAAAAGTCCAATGCGGAGTCTGCCAGAAGTTCTACGCCCACCTAGCCTCCCTCGTAATACACTGCAGAAAATTCCGTGAAGGAGAGGGTATGCCACAAACAATCGAATTCCACCAATGGGAAATACAAAACAACGAAAACAAGAGACCTTCCGGCATTAGTCTGCCCCTCATGCGGTGGTCACCAATGTATGAGTAAATCAGGCCTAACTCTACACCGAATGCCACGACACGGGTATCAACCTACCCGCGCGCACACCAGCCAACGCGACGAATGCGACGAAACAGCTCTGCATCTTTTGAGTTGCCCCGCTCTTCATCCACTGCGAGTCCAATTTGCGATAGTTGATGATGTACCCCTGATGAAACTATGTTTTTCTAAGCGATTAGCAAAATTCCTTATTGCAGTGGAGCGGAACTACATTATGCCACAGACTTCACACCCAAGAAACCCTACGCAGCCTACCTTCTTTCCCCACCTCTCTAAAATAAGCGACGGGCACGACCATGGAAACCTTGATAGAAGAGTAAGTTCAAGACGTCTGTCGGCGACCAAAGAAGCAACAAAATAAATAGGAGTTCATTGAGGCCAATCTATTACAAGAAATAAATAAAAAAATAGAAAAAGGAGACTGGAGGACGGGTTCTGGGTAAGAAAAGTGAGAGTAGAGAAATCTGGTAGGGTTTACTCGATCTGATTTCTCGTAGACTGGTTCTCTCGTTTGGGAACGGGCTACAACAAAAATCATATTACAAGAGCTTGAGGGTCCTATAAAATGAAGGGATCTTCTTCTTCGGAGCCACTCTCGAAAGTCGGTAATTAGGTGCTCTACGGTGTACGGTTGATAGCCGTACCATTGGAGTAATATCCATAAAAACACGAAGAACAGAAAGAAAAACGTATTGTGGTGGTGTGGAGGATAGAAGGGGATATATGTTTGATCGTACCCTCCTAATACACACCATGGAGTAGGGGACGTGTGTGTGTGTTGATGTTTTTTTTTTGCTGATAATGATGTGGGAGAAGAGGAGGTGAACCGACATTCTGAGGGAAAAGATAAAATAATAATAATAAGGATAAATAAAGAGGTAATATGTTTGTGAGAGAGTAATTGTGTGTTGCCTCTGTTTGTAAAGAGTGGCATGGTATTACAGTGATGTATGCAGTCATTTTTGTTATGGTTGTGGGTGAGTGGGTTTTAGATTCCAATTGTGGTGTTGGTATAAATATTATGGTGATGCATTGGTTTATTTTCTTTTTTTTCCCTTTGGAAGTGTGTTGATTATTGTGCAGTCTCTTTGTTTTGCTGATGATTTATGGTATTGTTTTTGTATGTTGCCGGGCGTACACTGTGTTTTTGGTGTATTTTGGTGTTCGAGCTGCCTGGTAATGATTTTATTATAATGAGAATACAGACACACTTTGTGTGTATGAATACCGAGTAAGATATTGGAGTGTGTGTAGAGACGTTTGTTTAATATTGTTTTGATACCATTTGTTTTCCACTTTTTCTAAATTCAAGGTGTTGTTTCAATATCTGTGTAACTCTGGGTGTGTTTTATTGTGTGAGTGGTTTATTGTTGTTCCCCTCATTGGGTTGTGTTTAATTGCTGTTGTGATATGTATTCTCTCTCTCTCTTTCTGTGTTGTTGTGTACTGTTCGCCTTGTGTGTTAAATGTGCGTCTCTTTTCTCCTTTTCCTCTTCTTCCTTTTTACCACAGATCCAAACAACTCACAGTGACAATCATGACAACGATGTTCGTCCAACTGCGCCGTGTGGTGTACCTGTTGGTACTTCTGCAGTGCTGTGTGTATGTGGCATGTAAGGAGGGTGAGGATCGTAATGTTGACGTTGACGAGTTTCTCAAGAACTACAACCCTAACGACCGCGAAATGGAGCGAGCGGCCGAAAAAGTGCAATTGTATACGAATGCCGCAGACAGGATGCTCGGAGAGGGGCGGACCACTTTGTTGGTATGGAAAAAGAAGGTGGATTCGTGTAATGATACGCGCTTAAGTGTCAAAAAAGCAACGGATGCAGTGGTTGGGCTCGCAAATGAGATGAAGCTGTACACGGATCCTGCTGGCAAAGGTGAAAAAAGGGGATATGTTCTGAAGAGTGGTGTCAAAGGTGAAGCGTTGTTGTTGTTGGTGGACAAGATCAAAAAAGTACTGGGAGGAAAGGATGACGCGCCCAACGAGACAGAAAAATCAATCGACTATGCGAACGTCGCAGGAAAAGCTTGTTTGACATCGCTGATGAACATGGAGGACGTCCTGAACAACCTCAACAGTAGTCGTGGGGGATTATTATCATTTGGTGAAGAAGATGTAAGAAAGAATCAAACTTTGGCGGTGCTCCTTGAACGAAGCAAGAATGTACACGAAGAGTTGATCCAGCTCCAGAACGATACCAACAAAGAGAGACTACGTGCCGCTCAGGCCGTGTCTGATGCCCGGGAGCAGATAAAAGCGTGGAATGGAGCAATGACTGAACTTAAACTTATGGGTGCTGTAGGTGAGGCGCGCGGAGATCAGCTAAATGGACTCGGGGGTTCGAGGGAGAAGATAGTTGAAGGCTTGAAAACCATTAAGGAGTCAAGTACGGACAGATTAGAGAAATTCAAGGACTTTCGCATGGAGGATAACAAGAAGAACAGGAAAGGCGATGCCGTTAAGGAAATTAACGCTACGGTGATAGAGGCAAATACAACGGAGATGGGCCGCATCGCGGAGCAAAGAAGAAAGGAGGAGGAAGATAGAGTAAGAAGAGCTGAAGAGGAAGCAAGACGGGGTGCGGAGGAAAAAGCGAGAAAGGCTCAAGAAGAAGCAAGACGGGTTGCGCAGGAAGAGCGGCAAAAGCAGGCCGCAGCTGAGGCGCAAAGAGCAAAGGAAGAACAGGAGAGAAGAAAAAGGGAGGAACAGGCCAAGAGGGAAAAAGAAGAGCAAGCCAAGAAGGAAAGAGAAGAAAAAGCGAAAAGGGATGCGGAGGAAGAGTCGAAAAGGATTGCAGAAGAGAAGGCGAAGAATGCGGCCAAAAAGAAGAAAGATGGAGCCGTCACTCCCTTTTTGATGCACGGACCCTTGTTCTTGCTTCTGATGTGTGTGTTGGGTTGCACTCTCGTGTGTTGATCGGTGTTCCCATGACACAACTGCACAGTTAACCCTTATTTGAGTGGATATTGATGCATTGTGAGGGTGCTGTTCTTTTTGGTTGAATTTTAATGTTCCTTTTTTCAGTTCGATAAATCTCTTGTTTGCATTTTTTGCTGAACAAATCTATTGGACTCCCTATGGCACTCATCACATGACAAACCATCATTTTGTAAGGGAAGTGTCCTCTTTGTTTGTTTGTAGGCTTTGTCTGGGCTCTGTGTTGCCGCCGTTTACTTTGTCCTCCTGGTGATGTGTGTGTGTGTTCCGTGATATTAATAACTATTGCTTTTACCCATGGGAATGGGATACAATCCCGATGTGTTTTAATTACCGTGACTGAAATGTGAGGAATGGTGGGAGGTTCAAGACACACAAACACGCACACTACCAACCCTCCTTCTCCTTGTGTGTGTGTGTGTGGACTGGTCATCATGTGTGCATCATTCCCACTGCTCGCCCTGTACGAAAGACACACACACCTACTGTTGGGAATTTTGTTCTTGCCTCCTGAACATATTCACATGGTGATCACGGCTTTCTTTTTGTTTTGTTTTCATTATTTTGCTTTTCCTTGTGGGTGTGTGTTTCATTATAATTTCATGGCACGTTGTGTGCAGCTGTGTGTTTCTCTCTTGCGTTTCCAATACACCTTGTGTATCTTGTGTGTTCATTTTTATGGGATGATTCTTTTTTTTCATTATATACAAACTGCTGCACGGACATCAAGAATAAAGATATGGGTACGGCACGTTCAGTACAGAATGATTTTCCGTTGTTAACCTTGGAGTGGATTGGACTGTGTCCAGGCATCGCAGCCACATTAAGTAATGAATTTCCTTTCTTTTCCTTTTACATCTTTGCTCTATTATTGTGTCTGCCTCACGCAGTCGCTCCTTTTTTTTTACATTTTTATTTTGGTATAAGGATTGGTGGGTTGTAGAGGTGTTTGAGTGTGCCCCTCTGTTGTGTGTTCCTTTGTGTGTTTGGGTTGCTACTCGCACCACCCACGTAATGAAAACACATTTCTTTGTTCTCACCTTCTCTCTCGGTGGTGTCACTCACAGCATTGCCACGAACATATTTCTTCCCTTGTGGTGTGTGTTGTTTGTGGTGTGGCTTGCTTGAGTGACTGCAGCCTGCGGGGAGGTGGACTGAGACTGGTCCGCTTCGGCTTCACGTAATGGGCTTGTTTTCTTTCATTTTGGGATTGAGTTGATGTGCTGGTGTGGGTGAATGTTTTTCTCTGATGGGAGTGGCAGCTGTGATTATTGTATTGTAAGTGCTTTGTGTACTGTTGTTGTTGTTCTTTTCTTGTGTTTTTCTTTTCCTCTCTGTGGGTGTGTGACTCCGTGTGCATTTTAGGGAATGCCGTAGTGCCTCTCTGACATGAGCATGTGAGACTGTCATTGTGTGTGTGTGCACTGTGAGTGGGAAGGACAACGTTGTGTTGCTGGACCACTCCACTGCGGCCTCTGTGGGGTTTGTGTGTGAGCGACTGGAGTGGAGGTGTGGTTCCTTTACGCTAGTCCACTGCCCTGCGGTGCGATTGGGGCCACGCGCATGAATGGGGTAATGAGAATCCCTCTGTCCCGAGTTACTATCTAGCGAAACGACAGTCAAGGGGAACGGACTTGAGGGGCTAAGCGGGGAAAGAAAGGAGACCCTGTTGAGTTTGACTCCAGTCTGGCTCTGGAGTGGTTGGTCGGTGGCATGTACTTGGTACTGTCATCACTTTATAATTTGGTTCACATAATTTATATATGTGTACTAGTGTGAGATTGTGAAGTGGGATCTCGCAGGTATCGTGAGGGAAGTGTATGGGGTAGTACGAGAGGAACTCCCATGCCGTGCCTCTGGTTTCTGGAGTTTGTCGAACGGCAAGTGCTCCGACGCTATCGCACGGTGGTTCTCGGCTGAACGCCTCTAAGCCGGAAGAAGCCAATCCCAAGACCAGATGCCCATTTTATATCACTATATATAACCAAAACTATGTGTGTACGTTATCAGCTAACGTGTATGTGGTATGCACGTGCGTGACTGTCTTGGGGAAAAGTAGACCTCCGTGGTCGCGGCTTTTCAGGACAAGACGGGCTACACCAAATCTAGGATGTGTTTGGCTTCTGCGTTTTTCGTTACAGCCTTCGCGGTCCTCTCCTATCCGGGAGCTTGAGGAAGTTTTCTTACTGTTTTTCAAAAAATAAACACTCTATCGAATCGCCATCCAAATCATCTGGTGGGCTCTGCCAGCCTTTGAGGCGCCAAGTATCTTCATGATCACAAGACACTCTTTTTGAAAACAAAGAAAACGTGTGCCTGGCAGCGTTGCGTTTTTATGCGCAGCTCTCTCAGTGTTCAACTCTTGCGTTCGGGGGAAGGGCATTCCCCAAACGCGAAGGTTCGTGGCGGCGTAGGGCAATATACGGACGCGCCTAGAAGCTCATCTTGAAATGGATCGCACCCCAAACGCAACGGCGTTGGTCGAAATTCCTGTCTGAGGACAGTTGCGGCGCGGCATGCGCTCCAAAAACACGCACGCCACAGCAACACACGACACAAACACAACCACTTTGCGCCCCTCTCCAAACGAGAGAACACATGCGTGGGCTGGCATGAGCGGCGTGCTTCGCTTCGGCGGGGCTCGGAGAGGGGCACTTTACGTCCCGGGGCGCTGAACCTTGAGGCGTGAAATATCATGCTCAGGGACTTTGAACTTGAGAGAAAAAGAAGAGTGAGGATGAGGAAAAAAAAGGGATGAAACCCGGCAACCAGTCTACGTGCGCAATGCTCGAGGCTCATTGTCGGGTTTTGCCCGTTTCTTTCTTTTTTTATCCCTCACCCCAAGAAGGGAGAGGAGAGAACACACGACCTCCACAACCCAAGGCGGGCGGCCAACTTGTCAGCGTCTTGTGCGCAACAAGAAAAAGAGGGGTGGGGGGTGGCTCCCTGGGGTGTTTCACTTATAAAATGAGTGGGGTTGGGAATAGTGGAAAACTCTTGCTTTCCCTACTTCAACGCTGGCGAAGGTGGGTTTGAAAGGTATTCCGCAAAGATGACCCTTCCCCGTTCCCCTCGTGACATGGTGTGGCCATTCAACCGCACCTTTTACTCGGTGGCACGTTGCGCCATGAACAAAAAGAACGTGAGGGTGAGTCCTTCCTTCCCTATGATAAAGGCAAATTCTGCTATGGTGATGTTAAGGCGTTCCCCTACTGCCATGTGTGGTGTGAAAAAGGAAATCCATGGGAAATGCAGAAAAGGGGTGAAATCCAAACAGAACATTTTGTCCCATAAGTATTTTGGTTTTTTAGGAGAGTCCTAAGAATGCATGGAGTACGTTTGCTTTCCATGAATATATTCAAGTGCTTAACCATGACGCCAAGATAAGTTAGCACCCGATTACCAAAGTCTTTTTAAATGGCGATATGTTGAAATATTGCAATCTGTAAAGAAAGAAGAAAAGAAGAAGATTGCCACACTGACGTCGGCTTCTGCCCTAAGCGACGCTGATGCAAACAAAAGTGCTTTGTGTCATTTTTTGGCGTAGGAAGATTGAGTAGTAAACGATCATGCCCATATTTACCAACAGAATCCTCCATGGCGTTCTTCGGGGCAGTGTTTTTGGATGCGTGCGGGGTTCGCCATTACCTGGGATGTTGTTGTTGTTGTTGTTGCCTCTGCTTCCCCCCGAACCAAAAACTTCGAATTGAAGAAATAGTGGCGATAGAAAATGTCATGTTATCTTATTGCGAAGCAAGAAACGTGAGGATAAAAAAAAAACCTTTTACCAGCAAAGAATCCCTTAAATATAAAAAGCGTCGTGGGTGGTGGTGATGGTGTTCTTCCACTGTGGTTCACGCGTCTTCAGCAGAAAAGAGAGATATTACCACAGTGAGGCAGAATCATTGTGTTCGATATTTATATAAACGCAGGAATCAAAACCATAAAGCTAGACTTTTGAATGATTCTGTGACCAATAAGAGTGACGTTATGTTTTTCTTTTATTTTATTTATAACTTTCATGGGGTTTGCGAGGGGTAGGAATTGTACAGAAACAGATCCTTGGTAATGAGGGCCGTCCCGCCGTGGTGCCAAGGTGGAGTAGATGAATTTATTCAAAGAAACCAAATGCACTCACTAAATGTTTGAAGTGGGTGGTTTCCTTAAAAACCAAATTCTTTTTTATTTTTTATTTTTAATACATGCGTTCTTAGGGATGCCATTCCCCTTGGTGACGTTTGGCCATCGAAAGGTGGAACCAAGGTCCATTATCCCTTATTCTTTCGAGGGAAGCCATGGGCCAGCAAATTCTCTTCTTGAGAGTTTACGGGTTCATAAGCTACAAACGTCATACAGCACCGGGGTCAGCAGAGTCGTGCTAGGACAAAACTTTATCCAAGAAGATCCTGGGGTGCGTATCAGTGTGCCATCAGCAGCAGTTTCTTTTACATATTTCACTTTAGTGTGAATGCTGCTAAAAAAGGAGTGACAGGGACCCTAGAGATAGTAACAATTATGCCCTCTAGTGGCGGAAATTAGATTTGGCCGTTGAGGTGACTCAGAGAGGCGAAAAAAACCATGTTTTGCCACCTACGAGATCCATTATAATTTCATTACCAATGCGTACTCCCCATGCCCAACGGTAGTAAAAAAAAAATAATATAAAAAACAAATTGTATTTATGTATATTTATGTATTATTCTTGATGACCCGTTCCATTGGAGTAACATCCATAAAGCCACGAAGAACAGAAAAAAAAACGTGGTGGTGTGATGTGAGGTACTTTTTGGTGGGGGATGGAAGGGGATATGTATGATCGTGCCCTCCTAATTCACACCATGGATTAAGGGACGTGTTTGTGGTTGGGTGGTTTTTTTTTTTTTTTTGGTGATTATGTTGTGGGAGAAGAAGAGGAGGCGAACCAGCATTCTGAGGGAAAAATAAAATAATAATAGTAATAGGGATAAATAAAGAGGTAATGTGTGTGTGTGAGAGAGTAATTGTGTGTTGCCTCTGTTTGTAAAGAGTGGCATGGTATTACAGTGATGTATGCAGTCATTTTTGTTATGGTTGTGGGTGAGTGGGTTTTAGATTCCAATTGTGGTGTTGGTATAAATATTATGGTGATGTATTGGTTTTCTTTCTCTTTTTCTGTTTGGTGGTGTGTTGATTATTGTACAGTCCCTTTGTTTTGCTGATTATATTTTTGTGGTATTGTTTTTGTTTGTTGCCAGGCGCACTGTGTTTTTGGTGTATTTTGGTGTTCAAACTGCCTGGTAATAGTTTTATTACAATGAGAATACAGACACACTTTGTGTATGAATACCGAGTAAGATATTGGAGTGTGTGTAGAGACGTTTGTTTAATATTGTTTTGATACCATTTGTTTTCCACTTCTTCTAAATTCAAGGTGTTGTTTCAATATCTGTGTAACTCTGGGTGTGTTTTATTATGTGAGTGGTTTACTGTTGTTCCCCTCATTGGGTTGTGTTTGATTGCTGATGTGATGTGTATTCTCTCTCTCTTTCTGTGTTGCTGTGTACTCACTGCATTGTGGGTCAAATGTGTGTCTACTTTTCTCCTTTTCTTCTTTTTCCTTGTTACCACAGACCCAAGCAACTCACAGTGACAATCATGGCAACGATGTTCGTCCATCTGCGCCGTTTAGTGTACCTATTGGTACTTCTGCAGTGTTGTGTTTGCGTGGTCCGTGCAGATGATGCCGAAAAAACGACGGCAGTAAATTTTTTAACGAAGTGGGCGGATGAGTCGGAGAAGCATCTTGCGGAAGGAAAGAGCTATCAATTGGTGTGGAATACCACAGTGGGGTTTTGCGATGAGAGAGCTGATAAAGCCAGGAAAGCTGCCGAGAAAACGGAGAAACTCGTTGAGGGGATTGCTGCCGAAAAAAACAAACAAAAGGGTGCTAATGTTACCGGAAAAAATCTTCCTGTTTCCCCAGAGCTGGTTCAACTCGTGGAGAACGTTTCGGCGGAGTTAGATAATGATATGCGTGTGTTTGGGGAGGCGATGGGTACAGTCGAGAAGGCAAGGAATTTGGTTACGTGGAGTTCTGGCGCGATTCAGAATATGCAAGATAAGTTGGTGAGTCAAAACGGACACAGGGTGCATTATACGGGAGTGCTAGAGGAAGTACCTGAAGATAAAAGAACGGAGGAACAACAGCTCCTTATTGAAAGGAGCAAGAGAGTGTATAAAGAAATGGATGAGGTATATCAGCATCTCCAAGTGATCAAGAAAAAAAGTGTCGCCTGCACGAGAGAAACAAATCAGCTTGTGATGGAAACGAAGAACAAGATGCTCAGAACGAAGGAACTGTTCGAGGGGCTGAAACAACATGTTGAGGTGAAGAGTAAGGGGGTCGAAGAGAAGGTGAATCTCTACGACCAAGAAGTTAAGAAATCGCTGGAAAAAGAATTGCCAGAGGATGTTACTTTTGAGCAAGCGAAAGGAAAGGAGGTTATGGTCGGTCGTGCGTCTAATAGTACGATTGGTGGGGCGGCCACTCTGGCACGTGAGAACAGAACAGTTGAAACAACCGAACTATGGGAGAAATTGGGGGCGGAAAAGATAAAAGAAGAGGGACGTTTGAAGCAAAAAAAGGTGGAGGAGGAACGGGAACTAAAGAAACGCATTGAAGAAAGGAAGCTGGCTGCGGAACGCAGGAGACAGGAGGAAGAATGGCAAAAACAGGCGGCAGCTGCAGAGGCGCAAAGAGTAAGGAAAGAACAGGAGAGAAAGAAAAGAGAAGAACAAGCAAAGAAGGAAAGGGACGAGAAAGCGAAAAGGGAAGCCGAGGAAGAGGCGAAACGGGCAGCAGAAAAGTTGAGACAGGAGGCGGCACAAAAAGCCAAGGAAGAAGCAGAAAAGACGAAGAAGGACAAGAACAAGAAGGATGGCAGCAGCAGTCCTGCATTGATGCACGGTTCCTTGATTCTTCTTGTCCTCTCTGTATTGGGTTACACTCTCGTGTGCTAAGCGGTGTTCCCATGACACAGTTGCAAGTTAACCTTTGTTTGAGTGGATATGGATGCATTGTAAGGGCACTGTTCTTATTTGGTTGAATTTTAATGTTACTTCTTTTTTCAGTTTGATAAATCTTTTGTTTGCATTTTTTTATGCTAAACACATCTATTGGACTCCCTATGGCACTCATCACATGACAAACCATCATTTTGTAAGGGAAGTGTCCTCTTTGTTTGTTTGTAGGCTTTGTCTGGGCTCTGTGTTGCCGCCGTTTACTTTGTCCTCCTGGTGATGTGTGTGTGTGTTCCGTGATATTAATAACTATTGCTTTTACCCATGGGAATGGGATACAATCCCGATGTGTTTTAATTACCGTGACTGAAATGTGAGGAATGGTGGGAGGTTCAAGACACACAAACACGCACACTACCAACCCTCCTTCTCTTTGTGTGTGTGTGTGTGGACTGGTCATCATGTGTGCATCATTCCCACTGCTCGCCCTGTACGAAAGACACACACACACCTACTGCAGGGAATTGTGTTCTTGCCTCCTGAACATATTCACATGGTGATCACGGCTTTTTCTTTTCTTGTTTGTTTTCATTTTATTGTTTTTTCCCTTGTGTGTGTGTTTCATTATAATTTCATTGCACATTGTGTGCAGCTGTGTGTTTCTCTTTTGCGTTTCCAATACACCTTGTGTGTCTTGTGTGTTCATTTTTATGGAATGATTCTTTTTTTTCATTATATACAAACTGCTGCACGGACATCAAGAATAAAGATATGGGAACGGTATGTTCAGTACAGAATGATTTTACGTTGTTAACCTTGGGGTGGGTTGGACTGTGTCCAGACATCGCAGCCACATTAAGTGATGAATTTCTTTTTTTACTTTTCTTGCTCTATTATTGTGTCTGCCTCACGCAGTCACTCTTCTTTAGCATTTTTATTTTGGCATAAAGATTGGTGGGTTGTGGGTGTTTGAGTGCCCCTCTGTTGTGTGTTCCTTTGTGTGTTTGGGTTGCTACTCACACCGCCCACGTAATGAAAACACATTTCTTTGTTCTCACCTTCTCTCTTGGTGTTCTCACTCACAGTATTGCCACGAACATATTTGTGCTCTTGTGGTGTGTGTTGTGTGGCTTGTTTGAGTGACTGCAGCCTGCGGGGAGATGGACTGAGACTGTTCCGCTTCGGCTTCACATAATGGGTCTGTTTTTTTTGGGGGTGTTGAGTTGATGTGCTGGTGTGGGTAAATGTTTTTCTCTGATGGGAGTGGCAGCTGTGATTATTGTATTGTGAGTGCTTTGTGTACTGTTGGTATCCTGTTGTTGTTCTTTTCTTGTGTTTTTCTTTTCCTCTCTGTAGGTGTGTGGCTCCATGTGCATTTTAGGGAATTCGGCAGTGCCTCTCTGATATCAGCATGTGAGGCTGTCATTGTGTCTGTGTGCACTGTGAGTGGGAAGAACGCTTTGTGTTGCTGGATCACTCCACTGCGGCCTCTGTGGGGTTTGTGTGTAAGCGGCATGCTTTGCTTCGGCGGGGCTCGAGGGGCACTTTACGTCCCGAGGCGCTGAACCTTGAGGCCTGAAATATCATGCTCAGGGACTTTGAACTTGAGAGAAAAAGAAGAGTGAGGATGAGGAAAAGAAAGGATGAAACCCGGCAACCAGTCTAAGCGCGCAATGCTCGAGGCTCGTTGTCGGGTTTTGCCCTTTTCTTTTTTTTTATCCCTCACCCCAAGAAGGGAGAGGAGGAGAGAACACACAACCCAAGGCGGGCGGCCAACTTGTCAGCGTCTTGTGCGCAACAAGAAGAAGAGGGGTGGGGAGTGGCTCCCGGGGGTGTTTCACTTATAAAATGAGTGTGGGGTTGGGCATAGTGGAAAATTTATGCTTATCTATACTTTTTAGAACGGTACCGATCCTGTTCTTTGGCAAGTCCTATTTGCGTGACGCCGTTGTAGGGTTCTACAGCGCTCAGAAACGACGGACGCCTGTTAATTTGGTATTCGAGAACCACAAAGATACTCGGGAGTTTTTTATCACCAAATAATAAAACAGGCATGCATTGGAAAGATTTTTACCTTTACGGATTGCATACTTAGAGCTTACTGTGGGAATGGTGTGGTCTTGCTGCGTATCATTCTTAATTTGTATAATTCTTTCTTCTCATTTGTATCTGAAAAGACTTGTGTGTTAAGGTGTGGGTTTTGAAGGACCGCCTGACCCTTCCGCCTCAGCTTCGCGCGCTGGGGCGGTTTAAAGCGCTTTCAATACCTTTTTGCAAGGTAGCAACACGGTTTTATAGAGAATGGGGAGTATTTGAAACTCATCACAGTGTATTGCTGTTTTTTTTTTTCTTGATGATAGTGATAAAGAGAAAAAAAAAACTATCTATGTTTATTTATTTTTTACTTTTATTCTTTTTTATATGGAAGTGGTGGGGGAAACAAGAACTAGACTATTATTTTTAAAAGCTTGTGGAAATAATGTGCGACAGGATGCGGTTAAATAAAAGAGAGTGGTGATGTTTTTGTTTACATTTTTTTTCTTTGCCTATGATTTCTTTTTATTTTTTATCTCGAAAGGTAACCGCATTGGGAGGTAGCGGATGGGGTGATTTTCTTTTTCCGTCCCATCCACCTTCACTACCCTCCACGTGGAGGAGTCCAGTAGTGACGGGACACCCCCCAAAAAAAGACTGCTACTTTATAAGTAATCAACAGAATTGTGCATCATGGATTAGTTTTTATGATTTACATGGTTTAACGGTGAGTAAACGACTGACAGGTGTATCGCTCGGAAGGTGGTGGCATTAAGTCTAACTCTTGAAATTTTACTTTTGTCTTGTATTTTTTTCCCTCCATAGAAGAAAAAAAAAACTGAATCCAGGCGCATATTCGGAAAAAGTGTATATATATATATATGTCAGTATCAAAAAAAGAAAAGAGTGTAATAGTGGGTAGAATAAATATGAAATGGAAAGACTTTTTCAATAGTAACTCTTGCACCACAGGTTTGTGTTTGCTACTTTGAATGTCACATACTTCTTTGTATCTTCCTTTTTTTCACCTGCTTTCTGCCAAAATGATTCTTCTAAGAGACAAGAAAGTTAATATTCAGACACAGTGCCTTGAAATAACTCACTAAAATACGTAGAAATAAACACCCAGATAAAGAGATCAAGGGAGGGACGACACAACATTATTAAGGTATGAGGAAAAATAAGGCAATGTCCTGCAGAATATTCTTCGCGTTTCTTCTTATTCTGTGCTCAAGCGCCGTCCTCTCTCACGCCATGTCCTCAGAGGAGCGTCAGAGAAGCAGAGTCATACTCTTTGAACGAGGAGTGACGACAGTGCCATTCGAAGATGATAATGGGACGACATATCAAAGAAGAGTTCATTCGTTCCGTATTCCTTCCCTTATTGACGTGGATGGTGTGATGGTCGCCATCGGTGACGCCCGCTATAATACGTCTAACGACAACTCCTTTATCGAGACGGTGGTAAAGTTCAGTGCGGACAATGGGAAAACGTGGGAAACACAAATTGCAGTAAAGAACACTCGTGTGAGTAACGTTTCTCGTGTGGTGGACCCTACAGTCATCGTAAAGGGGAACAAGATTTACGTTCTTGTGGCAAGATACAACAATTCGACCAAGAACTGGGGTCAGCACTATGATGGCAAGGATTGGGAGCCTGTGTTTTCTGTTGGTGAGGTTAAGAAGACAGCGATAAATGGCAAGGTGAATGCAACGATTACATGGACCGATCCTGTCTCACTAAAATCTATTTTCCCTGAAGAGATTGCAGGAGGGCCATCAAAGCAATTCCTTGGGGGTGTAGGGGTTTCTATTGTAACAACGAACGGTGCTCTTGTGTTCCCAGTCCAGGCAATGAGTTCAATTAGGAGGACCACTGCAATGATTATGTATTCCAAAGACGATGGTGAGACATGGAAGTTCGCAAACGGTATCACTGCACTGGATTGCACTGAATCTTCTATTGTTGAGTGGGAAGGGAAGCTCATCATGAACAGTCGCGTTGACATTGGCTACCGCAAAGTCTTTGAGTCCACAGACCTGGGGGAGACATGGAAAGAAGCTGTTGGAATACTCTCCCGAGTATGGGGCAACTCACCATCACGTAAAGGACCTGGTAGCCAGATTCCTTTCATTCCTGTAACGATTAAGGGGAGCGTGTGATGTTGTTTACACACCCCCGGAATTTCAAGGGTAGATGGAACCGTGACCGACTTCATCTGTGGGTAACGGACAACAACCGCATATTTGATGTTGGTCAGATTTCCGTTGGTGATGAGAACGCTCCCTACAGTTCAGTGCTCTACAGGGGTGATAAGTTGTATTGTTTGCACGAAACTAATCTTCAGGAGAATTACAGTCTTATCTTTGTGGAGCTAAAAGAAGAACTGAACTTGATCAAGTCAGTGGTGAAGACCTGGATCGAGCAGGACAAGAAGTTCTCAGACATTTGCACCCCAGTCAACCCAAAGACACAGGCTGGTGCAAGTGACTGCGGCTTCCCGTTCCCCACTGCTGGGCTTGTTGGCTTCCTTTCCGATGGGGGGTGACGGTAAACAGTGGAAGGACGCATACCGCTGTGTGAACGCTAGCGTGAAAAATGCTGAGAAGGTTCCCAATGGTATGAAATTCAAGGGAGTTGGTGCAGGGGCAATTTGGCCAGTAGGCGAGCAGGGACAGAACCAGCGATACCATTTTGCAAACTACATGTTTACGCTGGTAGCAACGGTACAAATCATTGAGCTACCAGAAGTCGGCAACCCAGTCCCACTATTGGGAGTGAGCTTGGATGAGGCTGGTGGCAAGAAGCTTCTGGGACTCTCATTTAACAGCGACCAGCAGTGGAACCCAATATGCGGGAAGATTGAAACCGCACCTAACGGATCGTGGGAACTGAACAAGGCATACCAGGTGGCACTCACTTTTCAGGACGGAGTGGGTTCGATCTATGTTGATGGAGAGCCCTTGGCAGGCTCAGGGGAGAAGCTTCAGTACGATACAAGGTCCCTCGTTGTTTCACACTTCTACATTGGTGGATATGGAACCAGTGAACTGGAGACGGATGGCCATGTAACAGTGACAAACGTTCTTTTATACAACAGACAACTGAACCAGAGCGAACTCAAAACCTTGTTCTTGGCCAGGGATCAAATTGCAGATAACACCTGGGGTGTTGATGACGATTCTTCTACTTCTGGTAGTAGTAGTGAGTCATCTGCACCTGAGGAGGCGTCATCTTCTGAGTCTCACAATACAGAAGAGTGGGATAGTTTAGAAACCGATGGATCGACACTCTGTTTTGGGGTTAATTATTTTTCAATGATGCTTCTACCGTTACTAACCCTGGCTCTCGTTCTATTTGACCATGGTATTTTTATCTGAAGTTTTTGCGTCCGAAGACGGTTGAATAACCCACATGAGATGATCTGTTTTTTTCTTTTGACCGCCATTTCACTCGCTGAAAAAATCCAAACATACGCTTCTCTTGGCACGTTGAGATTTCGGTATGAACTGAATGTAATAATAACGATGCCCAAATCGATTGTAGTAATATCAATTAGCTTATACACTCAATTCAATATGTTTCTGGATTTATATTCTCTTTTTGATTTGGTGTTTTTGTTTTGTTTATTGTTTACTTCCTCGCTCTTTTAACAAATAAAAACTGTAGATAGAAAAGAAAACTTTATACGTTTAAGCCACTATTCAGGTGGATTTATATTCCATTTCTGATGTATTTTTTCTTTTTGATGTTCTCACTCTTATAAAAAGTTACCGTTGGAAGTAGCAAAGAGCTTATACACTTAAACTGCTCTTCTTTGCTCATATATCTCTTTGAATATATCTCTTTGAAATTCTCCTCTTCAGATTATTTTAATCTTGTTTTATCCGCCAATAAAATTATATAAAAACGTATATAATGCTTTTGCGGAAACATTTATATCCGTTCGATATAATTTATTGTTTCTATGTGGTTAATGGGTCATTATTTTCAAGTTCTGTTTGAATCTAGTGTGGCGAAATAATATTTAGGGTTGGGGTTGGGGTTAGGGTTAGGGTTAGCCGTGCTGAAAGCGTGCTGAGGCACAAGCGTGTCGTGGCCGAAATTTCTCGTAGAGAAACTGGGTGTACGGGTTGTAAATAAACAGAAGCACGCAGAGAGTGAGTAAGAGTAATGTGCATATGAGTTCGACCCCTTGTATTGCTTGAATGTTTGTGAAAACTTTTCTTGTTTTCTACTTCTCTTATAACTATTTTCTCTTCGTGCAATCACAAAGGTTGAACACCTCTAGCTCCTCCAAAAGGTTTGTCGACGGGTTCAGAACTCAAGAACAGTTTTGAAAAGAAAGCATTGCAAGTATGACGGAAAGTGAGATTGCCACTACCCGCATGGCCGCTGAAACGCAGCGTTTGCCTCCCGACGGGACGCCGGAAGAAC